ATGTCCAGAGATTTGGGAGGCACTATTTTATAAGTAGTCATTCCGATTTTAGGTATATACTCTCTTGTAATTTCATTTGAAGGTTTTGGCTTAGGACTATAGTCCTGTCTGTAAAGTGGATGATTCTTTAGGTAAGAAGCAGGTGAATTTTTCTCAATCCCATCTATAGGAAGCAAAAGATCATCATTATGTGTACAAATGGGATCTTTTCTGGGGAGCTGCTCTTCTGACTGTGTGTTTAAGGTACCCTGACTCCTGAATTCTCTTGAAGTGCCTACAGAATCTCGCTGACTAAAGGGTGGGTGTTGAATTGATTTGCTGTTATTCAATGTTTGTACACTTTCATCAACTTTGAAGTCAGACAAATTATTAGCTTGGTGATTCTTGCCAAAACTGTTAGAGGAAGGGGTTGTCTGAATTGCTGCATCTTGCATTTTTATCTTTTCTGCAATGAGTTGATTCAGCTTTTGGTCTGGTCCCGATGAAACTGATGGATGATTTTCCTTGCAGCTTACAGCAGGATCAGTTTTATATACTTGAAAGTTTGGCAGTGTGTCAACTTTTATGTCCACATTGTTATTTGTGGCAACACCTCCTACATTGACTTCTGTTTTCTTTACTCTAGTTTTCATATTATCTTCTGTGTTCATTGGAAAGACAGTTTTTTCATGATGAACTATTGAGAGGGAAAAAAAAACCACCAAGTATATTAAAAAAGTAGAAAACCTCAGGTTTTCAGTGCCCCAACCGGAAGTGTGTTGATTTGAATTCACAGATAATTTTCAGCTTACCAAGTTATGCAATGATAGGTGGAGACACACAGAGAAAACAGCAAAGACTTTGCACTGATAGATAGATGCCTGAGTCTGAAACTGGCTTAACTAGGACCAGCAGATGGTGTAATGGTTACGTCATTGGAGTCCCACATTGTCACCTATGGTTCGAGTCCCAGACCCGACAACTTAAAACACACACTGGGCACTTATGGGTGCATGCCCAAACTCCTGAGAGGAAAATGGAGGAGACAGGATTGTGGCATGGCCATCTCACCTGGAGGGTGACTTCTTGTTTTCTGTCTGTCTCTGTCTCTACAGTGAGTGCATGTGCCTTATAGCAAAAAACTCTCTAAAAAAATAATAAATAAATGAAACCTGATTTAACTAGTATGATTGCCACATTTTAATGGACTCCTTTGAGTCTGTTTGCCCAGTTACAAAAAGGTGAAAATGTATATTTTATATTAGATATATAATTTATGTCCCATGTTTACTAAGATGTTTATTATCAGTCCACAGAAGGTAGCATCTACATCTGTCCTTATAAATAAAAGCTTCATATTCCAGTCACTGTTAATAATCCCCCAAAAAGTGACAGAATCAAAAGTTCTATTTTCCTCTATTATTTTGATGCTGTTTTTATCATAGCCCTAGTATATATTTTTTATTTTATTTTAAATATATTTATTTGCATTCATTCACTGTACATCATTATAGTATATAAAATGAGATTTTCCATCCAGAACACACTGTATATTGGCTCAATCAAGGATATAACTATACATGTTATCATCAACAGATAATTTTCCATTTCTTTTGTATATGTTTTCTTTCCCCTCAACCCCCTGGATTCCCTACCTCTCATCTTCTGCCTTTTCCCATCTTTCTCCCACACCGTCTCTGGTATCTACAGTTGTATATTTTTATTTCATACTTAACATTATAAAGAAAACAGTCTCAGCATGTGTTGTCAGCTTTAATGAAGGCAGACAACAGAAAACACTACCTTTAAAATTAAAGTAAAAAAACAAATGTAAATGGTCTTATTAATTACATGTCCTTGCTAAAACTAGAGGGCCTTTTTTTTTTTGATGTGTATGTGTGTGTGTGTGTGTGTGTGCGTTTTTTTTTTTATTTGTGTGTGTGTGTGTGTGTGTGTGTGTGTGTGTGTGTGTGTGTGTGTGTAGAGGTTTTTGCTATAGGGTGCGTGTGCTCTCCGGACAGATAGAGAGAGACATAGAGACAGAAAGCGAGAAATCACCCCCCAGGGCGGATGGTCATGCCGCGATCCCTTCTCCTCCATTCTCCTCTTGGGATCTTGGGCATGCACGCACACGCGCCAGGCATGAATTCTAAGCCACCGGGTTCGGGACGTGAACCATGGTCGACTATGCGGGAGTCCAGCGACATAGCCATTACGCTAACTGCTGGTTCCCTAGGTATCCTTATTTTTGTAGAGTCAGAGTTCAAGTAGAAAACCACCTCCTTCTTCTCTGTACTGTATTTTCCCTTTGGTTCTAATTTAGATCTATAAATGAAAATCATTTGCCAATATTTAGATTAACAAAATAATATCATTCAGTCAACAAGATGACAAAGAATGGGGATGAGGAATCTAGACATAAATACAAGTTTATAGTATCCATCATGTGCCTGGAATTTAACTAAGTTATTTATATAGTGGACTACTCTATTTGAATACCCTGAAGATTCATTTCTCATTCATAATCACCGGCTGTCATCTTCAAAACCTGGTGACCCCTCTTTCAGATACATTAATAGTGCACAAAGCACAAGTGAAATGTGGGCCTTGGAAGTCAACTTACAAAGGGACTATTTCTTTATAGTTTTATCATTGTCCATTCTTAACTATAAGAATTTCCCTACCTACATTTTATCTATAAGAGGATAAGATCAACTGTGCTACCTAAAATGTAAGGAGTTATATGAAATAGTTCCTCTATTTAAAAAATAATAATAATAAGAGGAAGATAGACATACAAAAGAAATCAGGTTGTCAGGTAAATTTGTAAACTGTTTTTAAAAATATCTTTATATTGGCTGATCCCATGGCTTCATGGTTAAGAAAGCTGGATCCCATGTTGGCCAAATGTGGTTAGAATCCCAATCCTAGCAGCTTGAAAAACATGCCAGGTGTGTGCATATGCATGCTCAAACTCCCAACAGGGAGAAATGGAGAAATGGAGAAGGGATTGTGGCATGATCACCTTCCACTGAGGGATCCTTTCTTTTCCTCTCTCTGTTTCAGTATAGTGAATACATGTGCCCTCTGGTAATTAAAAACACATCTTCCCATTTTTAAACTCTTCCTAATTGTATAAATATTTGGTTATGGCAGTTAGAATTCTATATTATGTTGTAAAATGATATATTAACTATATGATGCTTAAATAGAACTCGTTTTTAGTCTTCCCAAATGAGATGCAATTGATCATTAGAACATTTATCTTCTGAGTGACTTCTATTCTCAATGACCAATAATTACTAACTTTTGTGATTTATGAAATTAAGAACACATGTAATTAGAAACAATAGAAGAGGTATATTTCTGCCTCTTCTCTTAATTTACTTGGTTCATAAATATCTTTGATGTTTGTATGAAAAGCACTATTGGAAATACTTTTATGAGCAGGGAAGAATTTAAGCAATGGTTCTTAGTGTAGGAAATGAACCTGACTGCTTCCTTCTCTCTTGTCTACTTCTCATTTTCCACTGAATGTATTTTCCAGTTTACATAATACTAACATTTTCTAAAAGAAAGCAAATTGGGGAAAACATATTTTACATTAAATCACCTATACTAAACCCTGACTTACTGGTTTTAGAAACTTAAACTTTTATTTTTTCATATTTTCAGTGGGTTACAGCCATTTCACTATTGTCTGATTTCCCATCAACATTTTGTAATTACTCCAAATGATTGGCAGGCCTGGAAACCTAGAATCACCACTGAATTCATAAGCTAATTTATCCTCATAAATATTTGACAACAATGCTAACTAACCAAGTGTGTGTGTGAATGACGAGGTCATTTTCTAAGGATGACCAGTAGAGGGAGAAGGTAGCTCTTGTACTATTCTGACTTCACTCAGCACTGAGACACATCCAAAATCTGATGAAAGAATGATTTAAGTAAGTACACAGGGTAGGCAGGAATAAAAAAAAAATCAAAATAAACTGCTTAACAGAAATTATTTATCAAAATCACCTGGTGTTGGCAAAGGTCATTGCAAATAATGTGTGAATAAAAATAAATATTTTGTAAATGTATTTATGACCCTAGTGATAATCTGGTGTCAAAACCTTAGTGAAAATAGGACCAGCCTCTGGCATTTGGTTAAGGCAGCTGGATCCCACATGGCTGACTGAGAGGTTCAAATCCCAGACCAGATGACTTGAAAAACATGTAAAGTGTGAGTGTCTGCATGCCCAAAATTCCAAAAGGAGAATGGAGGAATGGGATTGTGGAGAGTCCATCCCCCCGGGGGGGGGGGAGGATTTATTACTCCTCAACACCCTCCTCTGGTGAGTGCATGCACCCTACAGCAAAAACTTAAAAACAAAATCTTAGCAAAAATAATGTAATTTGAACATTATTTTTCAAAATAAGGAAGTAACTTCTAAATCATGATTTCACAATAGGAATGGTATTCTCATCATAGTTACATGCTTCATTGAAAACTTGAATCAAGAAGAAAAGAATGGTGAAATTATTTACTTCTAGATCTGTTCTATATAGTATTAAACATGGAGGAAATAAATTTGAGGCAAATATATTTAAGTTAACCAACATATACACATATAAAGTAAGATATATATGCAGTCCATATGCCACTTAGCAATGTTTTGTCAGTGACAGATCACATATATGATGGTAGTCTTCAAAATAGAGTATTACTATACAGTTTAGGTAGGTAGAAGGCTATTGCCAAGGTTTGTGTAAGTATGCTCTACAATATTTGCATAGTAATTAATGAAGCATTTCTTAGAACATATCCTCCTTTTTAAGTGACACTTGATTTTATATATGTGTGTGTGCATACATTGGGTTGTCTGGAATGTTCTGACATATTTTTGCATTGAAAAACATAGAAAAATACATCAAGACTTTCCTGACAACCTATATGTGTGTGTAGGTATGTGACATTGGGATTATTTATATCTTATCCAAATTCAAGTACTATATCCTTATGTTTTCTAAGAATCTTAATCTAGTTTTATATATTAACACAAGAGATTGTACTACAAAAATTTCTAAGCCACTTCCTTCCTACCCCCTCAAAATTTTGTCATTCACTCCCTAGATTTTCTATTTGTATAGTATTATTTAAAAAAAAAATTTTTTTTTTTTTTTTTGGAGAGGTTTTCGCTATAGGGCACATGCGCTCGCCAGACAGAGAGAGACATAGAAACAGAAAGCGAGAAATCACCCCCCGGGGGGATGGTCACGCTGCAATCCCTTCTCCTCCATTCTCCTCTCGGGATCTTGGGCATGCACGCACACGCGCCCGCCGTGAGTTTTAAGCCACTGGGCCCGGGATGCAAACCGCGGTCAACTACGTGGGAGTCCAGCAACATAGCCATTACACTAAGTGCTGGTTCCCCCCAAAAAAAACAATTAGAGAGAGATTTTTGCTATAGGGTATGTGCACTTACCAGAGAAACAGAGACAGAGACACAGAAAGTGAGCAATAACCACCCCCCCTATCTCCCAGGGGAGATGGCCATGCCACAATCCCTTCTCTTCCATTCCTCTCTTGGAATTTTGGACACATGTACACATGTGTCCAGCGTGAGTTTCAAGCCACCAGATCTGGGACCTGAACTATGGTCGTTTTTTTGAAATTTAATCATATATATATATATATATTATTTTTTATTTTAATTTTTATATACATTTAATCATATTATTTAGCTTACAAAGTGAACATTTCCTAAATATATATTTTAAAAGTATTTCAGAATGCAGCTAGAACTCACAAAGAATTCAAATGAAATATCACATGTAATTTCTCTGATCCAAGACTGTCCAATTCCGTTGGAAATTCAGGAATATAGAAGTATATGGTATCTAGTTATCAAGTATCAAAATAGATAAAGTGGTAAGATTTGCATAAACAACTAGCTGGAGTATACGGAAAATTGCTATCTTCTATGCAAAGACAAGATGAATATAGACCTAATGATAAAACAGAATAAATTATTTCACAAGAAAAGTAAGAAACTGTCTTGATCTGTGGTTAAAAGTTGAGAAATAGTGGTAAATAAGGTTCTATAATTAAGTGGCTCAGGCCTTCAAAATCAGGCAAATAATTTTCATCCAAAGGGCAGCAACTTGAGATGAAATACACAAGGCCTGGACTAGGGAGAAAGAAGGAAAAAGAGAATAGGCCACAAGTTGGTTAGCATAGGATGCATCTTTAAGACCCAAGATCTAATTTAGATACCCTCTAGGATTTAACGGCAACAAAGTAATACACACAGTAGTTAAGCACACACTTTGGAGCAATACTGCCTAGTTGACGTCCTTGATCCACCATTTGTTAGTGTGTGACCTCAGGTGAGTGAATTAATATCTTCGTGGGTCAACCATCTGTTAAATGGCCTAAAAATAATAATACCCGCAAAATCCATAAATGAGGAAGGTATTAAATATATCAATACATGAGATTAAATGAGATAATATAAAATGTTAAGAATGGTCCTTGGCCCCTAATAGCACTGTGTAAGTGTTAGCTATCAGTTTTATACTACTTACCATTCTCTTGGTTTGGGTGCAATGACTTCAAGTTCCTTAGAGTATCAACTACCATTTCTTCATTGCCGGTATCAGATACTATATTGTGTGTATCTCTGGAAGATATGAATGACAGTGTGTTACATACTGATACTATTTAAACACATACACACAAACACTAAAATACACATGCACACGATGAAAAATAGGGGCCAGCAGTTAGTGTAATGGCTATGTCGCTGGACTCCCATGTAGTTGACCACGATTTGAGTCCCGGAGCTGGTGGCTTAAACTCACACCGGGTGCCTGTGCCTGCAAGCCCATGATCCTGAGAGGAGAATGGAGGAGAAGGGATTGTGGCATGGCCATCCCCTCAGGGGAGTGATTACTGGCTTTCTGTCTGTCTCTGTCTCTCTGGCGAGTGCACGCACCCTGTACTAAAAACTTCTCCAAAATAAATAAAATAAAAATAGGCAGAATTTTCCAAAGGCAGATGGACTAAAATAATCTTCTTTTTCTGACAGACATTTCAAAGTTAATAGCAAAGAAAACATACAGCTGCAAGGAAATGTTGGTATAAAACATTGTGGTGCTCCTATAAAAAGGAAAAAAGTAGGACCATTGTTAAATGGACACTTCCAAAACAGAGTCTTTAGGTTGTTATTTTTGGTTGCCTTTTAAAGAAAAAGGAAATTAAATGAAACATTTTAGTCTTGTAGTTGGCAAGATCAACTATATAAATCAGTAAGTAGACTGAGCTGATTTTTTTTTTTTGATGATAGACTAATTTGGAGTACAACCACATGCAAATTATAGTAAACCTCTGGTGAAGATGATTTATTTTGTTTGGCTGATTTCATCTTTATTCATGATGTTGCACTTTAAGCACGAATGAACTAGACTGTAGCTTCAATTCCTAGGATCAAATGTAAAGTTTATCATGAAGTTGCCTGTAAAAATGATAGTAGTGCTATAACATTGCACTTTAATATGCAGAATTGTTTTCATACACTGATCAGTGAAAGTCTCTTAGAAGCATTTGATGAAAACTGAAAACTAAATATTCCATTTAGGTTAAATAGGTAACAGGGAAAATATACACACACAAACAAAAACTTTAATTTTGTAGTCATACAAATTACATGTATTGGTTTATCCAACACAGGTGTATTAGAATTGTTCAATTGGATTTTCCTTGAACATAATTATATATAAAAAGGTAGTTTATTAATAAACATTTTTATAATAATGGTAAAAGGGATGGAGTCTATACCAAAGGATTGAGTATATTTGTGTTTAAAATATCAGATCTCTATTTCAGAAGACTAGCGTTAACTAAACTGCCACCAACACTCTGGTATATACAGACTACTTACTGTCCATTCGGATTTCTAGTTTCTTGATTTTCTTCCTTGGAGTTTTGTAAGGATTCTCTGTTATCCCTGCCAGTGGCTGAGTCAGGATCATTTTTCAGTGTATTTATTATGTCGGTAGAAACAAGAGGAATATCTTGTGACTTCAGATAAGTATTTTCAGCCTCATCTTTAGGCACTTCACTTAGTTCTTCCTTTTCATCTATCTCTTCAAGGCTATAATCAGAGCTTATTCCAGCTACAAAGAAATGCAGATACAATCCTAAATATTAATTTGCCTCATTTATCCTATGCAATCCTGGCAAGAAAGGAATTTTTAAAATAATAATTAGCTGAACTCCTTTAAATTTGGGTTCAAAATAATAGTAGTTTTTCTAATAGGGAACATTCATGTTACCTTATCAACAGATTATCACAGATTCATACAATTCTAAAAACAATTTGCTATCAAGTCTAGGTTTTACTCATGGTAGAAATGAGGTATTTAATCTCATAAACTTCATGTTCAATATTTCAAATAAACCTTTCAGGCCCGTTGTGGCGGTATGGTGGTGATGAGGTACTATGCAATTCTGAAGCCTCAAGGGGAGGTCCTGTATTTACATCCCGAGAACTCGTGGTACATACTAGGTGCGCACACCCACAGTCTGGCCTGGCTAAGGCTAGGGTGGGTCGTGGTGTAAGGACCTGTTGGAGGTTCCTCTGCATGTGAGTTAGTACATGTGCGTTTCTTCTCTTATGGAAGAAATACACTTAAAAAAAGAACATATCTTTCAATCAAATGATTTTTACACTCATGTAAAATAATGTAATAACGCAAATTGCACAGTTTTAATAATACAAATTAAAAGAATAGGATATTTTGTATGGTCTGCAAGTAAGCTTATAAAATCTGACTCACAGTTATCAGTACTGACTATAGTTGACAATTATCTCCTATTCCATAGCCATTAAATCTGAATCTCTGAAGAGTTAGGACTAGGAATTTAAGGCTCCTCAGGTAATTCCAATATGCAACAAGATTAACAGCTGCTAATGTAAATCCTTTTATATCATTTAAAAATATATAAATAGAACAAGTATAAAAATGAAAAAGAATTTTTACTCCCACCCAGTAAAACTTGATTCCCCAAAGGAATTTCCTTTATCCATTCTTTTCCTGTATATCGACAGGAAATATAATGAATAAGCAGATATTCATACTTTTCCATTTGTTCTCTTTTCTTTCGTTTTGCTTATTGAATACAAATGGAAGTATTGCATACCCAGTGTTTTCCACTTTGCCTTTTTCTGCCACTTAATTGATTTTCAGTATCATTCCACATCAGTATGATGTGTGTGTGTGTGTGTGTGTGTGTGTATTTCTTTTCAATAGTTGTAGTTAATATTTGATCATATAAAAATGTATATTGCTATTATTTCTCACTATCAACAACAATTTACGAATAGAGTAAAAGAGCAAGGGAGATGCTAAGCATTTAAATTTCAGATTTATTGCAAAGATTAACTGTGACTGTTAATTTAAACCAAAACAATGTGGTTCCAGATTTTTACTTATTTAAATTAAACATTTCAACTTGCACAACAGAATCTGAACAAAGTTTCATTTAACTCCAGGGAAGTAGGAGAGGTGTTACAATATTTGATTATAGTGACTAGTACACCAACAAAATTTAATGAATTATTTAAAATTACAGAACCTAAAATGTATTTCTCTAATTTTATCTTAAGGCATATAGATGGAAAAATGTGCTATTTGTGCTCTTTTAAAAAATGGAAAGTTTAAATGAAAATTTAAATTATCTAATAAAACATTTTAAAGACTTCAAGTTTAAGTTTTCAAATATACATGTTTTGGCAAGTGTTGCTTTATCATGACATGTGAAACAGTCATTAGATGCTAATGTGCAAATTATGTGTCTTAAGTTGTCAGAGGGCATGAGCACTTGCCAAAGAGACAGAAATAGAGACACAAAGAGAGAGGAAAAAAGCACCACCCGGTGGGGTGTGGTCACACTGCAATCCCTTCTCTTCCATTTCTCCATCCTCCTGGGATCTGGTGCAAGCATGCACATGTGCCCAGAATATTTTTCAAGTCACTGAGACTAGGATTAAACCACAGTTGGTCATGTGGGGTCTGGTTCTCTTAGCCACTAGACTATGGGACCAGCACAGCAATCTTATATGTCTACAATAGCATATTGTATCTATGTAGTAAGAGTGTATTTATATTGTTTGAAAACTGTATGATGAAAAAACTGAATAGCCATGATGGTTTAGATGCAAATGTGTTTTATAAATTACCTTGTAGTAAATAGTAAGGTCTTTTGGAAATTATGTTAAGGCAACACTTAGCCAATGATTGTCCATTAGCCCTATTTTTTCTTGCCTATCATGAGTATTTCAGATATACACAACTTTAAGCATAGGGCATAAGAAATTGGTCATAATTAATAAATGTATGAAGAATGAGCTACATGTTTTAAAAAATCTTTTCAAATTATTTTTCTAGTACTTTATAACTGTGTAGTTACAGGCATCATATTGGTTTGCTTGAATATATATATTTTACTATCTTGAAAAGCATTCCTATTATTAACAGTCTTAGAAAAGGCAACGCAATGATTCTTTTTAAAAAGTCTAATCACCCAAGAGAACTTCCCTGCAGTCTGTTGTTTCACGAGCACTCATGTAAAATAATGTAATGAGCTTTGAAAAATAATGTCTCAAGCTTTGAAAAATATTAAGTCAAGTTTGTTTGGAATATGCTCACAGATTTGCATGGTGGTCAGTCAGAATTAAAGGCTACAATGAGAAATTATGGTGGGGGCTATGAACAATGAAAAACTTTCACAAACATTGTATCACAATCATATTTCAGCATCATAAGCTCGAAGCAAGGAATGGTCATTTTCAAAATAGACAGTATATTCATATCTTAGAGCAGGTTTCAGATTTAACTTTTGAAATATGTTTAAAAATTACCCAAAAAATCCATTGAAAATACAATTATGATACTTTCTTTTACACATACCTAGTTTTATATAATATTTTTATCTTTCAGTTCCCCTGAATATAGCAAATATTGACTAAAATAAAAATTTTAATTAAAAAACCCTTGAGATCAGCAGATGGCATAATGGTTATATCACTGGACTCCCATGTAGTCAACAGAGACAGAAAGTGAGAAATCTTCCCTCAGGCGGGATGGCCAATTTGCAATCTCTCCTCCTCCATTTTCCTTTTGAGATCTTGGGCATGCATACACACGTGCCTGACGTAAGTTTAAGCCACCAGGTCCAGGACTCAAACCACAGTCAACTACATGGGAGTTCAGCGATGAAACCATTACACCATCTGCTGGCCCCAGAATAATAATTTTAACCATCTGATTTGAGGTGACAAAGATTTATTTCTAAGTCACTGAAAAACTGGGTAAAATTAGATATAATTTAGTATTACCTAACTATAATGTTTTGCCATCTTATAACAAAATAATTCCACAAAATTTAACAATAAAATATTATAAGCAGTACTATAAAAATAAGTCATATGTAGATAACAAAGTATAGTTCAATAAAGAATATGTTTTTAAATATAATATGTATTTAGGAATACACTGAAAATAGTGAAATTCAGTTTGACACAAAATAGTAGAAAGCCAAAATGAAGAGAAGCTGAAATTTTTCAGAACTGCTAATTTTATTCATCTTACACTGTGTCATATTCATGCATTTGGTTAGGAAAAACAGCTACTTTTAAGCCTGCTTAACGAAGCAAAAAAAAGGAGGAATCTCCTATTTCTTTATAAAAACACTTTTACACAAGGGTTCAGCAAGCAAGGAATTTAATTCGATAGCATCTGAATCTGCATTATGAAAAGCGTAGCCAGGAGAGGCCTGAACACCTACATGTCAATGATGCGACAGCTGCCTCAGGTGTCCCAGGGCACTCAGAGAGAGAGGCTTCCTCTGCCAGCTTAGGCGCAGAGCATGGTTCCTGACCGGGCAACCCGGGGCCAAGGGAGGTTTCTGCCAAAGAAGTAGATTCTATGGAAATGGTACTTAGACAAGAGAGTTAAAGCAAGCAGAGATCAAGCAGCATTTTAGGAAAAAAATACACTTGTTAGTTCACAATTATCCATGCATTTAATATGATGAAGCAAAAAGGAAAAAAAACATGACAAGCAAAGTTTGAATATTAGACAGAAGTTTGAATATTAGACACATCTTTTTTCTAATGTTTCAGAATATTCTAATTTCATTATACAGCTTAAGTTGTAACATTACATATCTCCTTTGTGAAATAAAATGGTCTTATTTGTATTATTCTGAGGAAGACCTAATAAAAATCATTACAAGTTATCTAATAGTAATTATTTTAAACCACAAATAGAAGAGTGGAAAATTCTTACACGAGATGTTAAAATTCAAATTCCTAAATATTAAAGTTTCAAGAGCATTTGGGTGCTCCCAAACTTTTCCTGTATTGGTGAATATAAATTATAAAAATTAGGCAGAGCTATATATTAAGCCATCTTCATACTTATCAAATTATCCCCATACTAAAATACCAGCATAATAATATCCTATTTTTATATGACATTAGTAGTCGATCATGTTCATTTGTCCCTAACATTAACTCTAAGGATAAAGAAACTTAATCATTGTTATAATAGCTACTAGCTATTATTACAAAAATTCAAAGCAGTATTAAAATTGAATTATTTTATTTTTAGTGGAATTTCACTTATTTGGGGAGAATCTACCAAGAGAGCTGTGTAATAGAAAATATTTCCATGGTAACAAATTTTAACCATTAGCACTACCTTGCACATTGAATTTATACTGAGAGCCACTTTATAAACAACGTAGCTTACACTTTCATGTCAATCTTTTTCTGAATACACCTAGGCATATACTTAATTGTAATGTGTCATTACTCTTAGGAAGGGGCTTAATTCATATTAACCTGACATTGCATCAGTTAAAACAGAAGATCAAATAGGGAATGTACTGAAGGTACAATTCCAGAACTGAAAATTTTATCTTAGCCAGTTTTATATTCTAATCCCAGGAAGTGCAGGGAGAGAATCTATCTTATGATGTAAAAATTGGGAAACAGGCTAAAAAAATTTGTATTTCTCTTATAGACAGTGCTCTATAAGTAGATTCATTTCCCATTTTCAAGAAAGTTTTTTTTTTTTTAAAAGTAATTACACAAAGTGGGTTAAATGTCTCATACCTGAGTTGGACAGTCCCTCAGGACTGTTTGCTTCCAAAACACTGTCAGGAGAAATGCCATCTACTGATGGAAGGGCTAAAAGAAAAAAGCAGTACAACTTATAAACAAGCCACATACACAAAGAAAACAATTCCTTTCTAGTTTAACTTCTATTTTTATCTAATTTTGAAAGCAATGAGCCTTAACTTTCCTAGAAGATATTTTACTCCAGCTGTGAAATAACTAACATCTTCTTAAATTCCCATTCCTACATGTTGCCAATTCTGGGATAGCAGTATCTTTCTGAATAAGTTTTCAATTATGACATGTTTACTTTAGAATAATGGAGCTGTGCAGTTTTTATTTCATTTCATTATGTTGAAGATTTTAAATGACAGCTGAGGGAGAATAATCAGAAACTATTCGAAAAGCCCAAGTATTATTATCATTATTGAATAAAAAGATAAAACATATCCTATGTAATTTCTACTATCTATATTCACATGAAACACAATATAAATGCAATGTTAATGGGAAAAGTCACATTACCAGTCATATGATTATTTTCATCACTTTCATGGAGGGCTAGTTTGGAGGGTGGGGAAGGTGCCCTTCGTTTTGTCCTTCTTAAAGATGAATTCCCTACAGATGTGCTACTGAGCTGCAGAGAGCCTGTTCTCATTATTCCTGCTCCACAGGGTCTCTATGGAAAGCAAAATGACCAAACACCATTCTATATTTAGAAATTAATAACAAACTTTAGAAAAACATTGGTCTTTATGTCAAACATATCATATACCAAAACAGAAGATAAAAGTAATTAATTCAAAAGTATTTATGGAATATCTTCCACGTAAAGAAGCTGGCTGTGGAATGGATAAAAACTGGAATAAAATAAGATCCTTCTCGGGACCAGCAGCTAGCGTAATGGCTATGTTGCTGGACTCCCACGTAGTCGACCGCGGTTTGCATCCTGGACCAGGTGGCTTAAAACTCACGCTGGGCGTGTGTGCGTGCATGCCCAAGATCCCAAGAGGAGAATGGAGGAGAAGGGATTGCGGCGTGGCCATCCCCCGTGGGGGGGTGATTCTTGTTTTCTGTCTCTCTGTCTCTCTCTATCTGGCGAGTGCATGAGCCCTATAGCAAAAACCTCTCCAAAAAAAAAAAAAAAAAAAAAGATCCTTCTCAACAAGATAATCCTGGGGAAAAAGAAAATCTCTCCACCAAATGGTGCTATAACAACTAGATATCCACCTGCAAAAAAATTAAGATGGACCCCTATCTCTAATCATTAAAAAAAATCAACTCAAAATGGATCAAAGATCTAAACATGAACCCTCAAACTATAAAAGTACTGGTAGAAAACACAGAAGAACTCTTGGAGACATTGAAGTAGGCAAAGACTTCCTTGTCTTAAAAAATATGTATATTTATTTAACTTTACTTATTTATTTATTATTATTTGACTAGACTCTTGGAGAAATTAAACTAAACGAAGATTTCTTTTTTAAAAAAATATACATTTATTTATTTATTTATTTATATTTGACCAGACAGGGACAGAGAGAGAGAAGGGGCGGGGGGAGCGAGAAAGTAAGCTACCAGGTTTGGGACTCAAACCACAGTTGGCTATGTGGGAGTCTAGCACCCTTAACTACCATACCACCTGCCCCGATAGAGTCTTCTTACATATGACCCACAGAGCACAAGCAATAATCCCCAAAACAGTCAAGGGAGACTACATAAGGCTGAAAAGCTCCTACACAGCAAAAGAAACAATAATTAGAGTAGAGAGACTATCCTGACAATGGGAGAATATACTTGCAAACTATGCCTCAGATAAGGGACTGGTAACAAGAATACACAGGGAACTCCAGCAGATTAGCCACTCCCTTCCCCATCTCCTCACAAAAAAAAAAAAAAAAAATCCAACTAAAAATGGCATAAGGACTGGACAGACAACTATTTATGGAAGACAAACGAATGGTCAAAAAACATATGAACAAATGCTCAACATCTCTTATGTATGGGAAATGTAAACCAAAGCACAATGAGATAACACTTAACCCAAGATGGAATGACTAAGATTAGAAAAATGAAAAATCATAAATGGTAGTGAGGCTATGATGAAAAAAGGAACACTCCTATACCATTGTTGGGAATGTAAATTATTACAGCCATAGTAGAGAACAATATGGAGCTTCCTCAAAAACCTATAAATAGAATTACCATACAATCCAGGAATTCCACCTGAAGGATAGGAAAACACTACGAAAAGCACTTGCACATCAGTATTTATTGCAGCATTATTTACAATAGCTAGGACATGGAATCAACTCAAATGTCCAAGGATAGCTGAGTATATTGAAAAAATGTGGCACATAAACACTATGGAATACCACTTGATCAAAAAAACAAAAACAACAACAACAACAAAACCCCAAAAAACAAACTAATAGGATCCTGGCATTTGATAAAAAGTGGGCAAATATGGAAGATTTAATCCTAAATGATGATGCAAGCCAGACTATGAAAGACAGGTATTGTATGTCCCTATTTAATATATACTGAATATCTACACTCTATAGCTTCAACAGAAAGACTGGAAGGTATAATTGCAGGGAAGTCAACTAGAGATACTAGAGACAGTATAGAAGGGGGTGGATAATAGGGGGATAGTTAGTAGGGGATCAAACAAACTTCAGCAGACACAAAAATGAAAATTTACTTGTTGATGGAAATGTATACGGTAATATCTCTGACTTGACTAATATGTATTGTATTCTTGTCGGGAAATCCATATTGTACATTGTAAAGATGTATAGTGATTAATTTTTAAATGAAAAGAAAAATGATAGGACTACTATCCAAAAAAAATTGTAAAAAAAAAAAAAATACAACCCTTAATAAATTTACTTAGGATAGGAGACTGACATGCCAGCATCTAACTATAATGCAGAGGATTCATAAGTAGTGTAGTTAAAAATTTAGTTTTGGGTCAGCCTTATAGCACAGCAGTTAAGCACTATACAGAGGGAACTAGATCTCCCATGGCTGACCATGGTAAAATTCTGAGCCACAATACAAGACGGAGTAAAAATGATCACTGCACAGTCAAGTGATCATTTTTGTGAAAAGTGATCACAGGCTGGATTGGGAGTGTGTTCTGTTTCTATATCTCTCTTATATGCATGCACACTGTGGCATTAAAGAAAAAAAAATTCCTTCCAAAGACTACTCTTAGGAACCAGCAGTTAGCGTAATGGCTATGTCGCTGGACTCCCATGTAGTCGACTGCGGTTCGCGTCCTGGACTGGGTGGCTTAAAACTCACGCTGGGCGCGTGTGCGTGCGTGCCCAAGATCCCGAGAGGAGAATTGAGGAGAAGGGATTGCGGCATGGCCATCCCCTCTGGGGGGTGATTTCTCGCTTTCTGTCTCTATGTCTCTCTCTGTCTGTCTGGCGAGCGCATGAGCCCTATAGCAAAAATCTCTCCAAAAAAAAAAAAAAAAGAAAGAAAGAAAAGAAAAAGACTACTCTAGAGAAATTATTGGATGTAAAGTATGAAAAGGGAGGTGGAGGCAGCAGGTAGCATTGTAGTTAAGGTGCTGCACTCCTATATGGCCAACTGCAGTTCGTGTCCCAGACCCACCCCCTTCTATACTGTCTCTAGTATCTACAAGGCACATGTGCAAGTGTGCACAAAATCCCAAGAAGAGAATGGAGGAAAAGGGACTGCGGCATAGTCATCCTCCCTAGGCAGTAGATTCTCACTTTTTCTCTCTCTGTGTCTCCAGTGAGCACAGACACCCTATAGCAAAAATCTCCTAATGGAGGAAAAAATGAAAAGGGGGAGACTATTTTTAATAGTACTAGCTGGCTTGTTAATTTCTCTTTTCATGAGCAAGAAAACATTTCAAAAATCTGTAAGTCTACCCAAGCAAGGTTCTTCGCAGTAACTCTCTACAAACAGCTACTGCTCACACCCATGATCCATGCCTGTCGGCAGACCGTCACACAATCTTGCCTGTGCAGGCTGGCAGGTGCCTTCCAGTCAATTGCCACATCACTTTTACTCTTCTCCTTTATAACTAAACTTCTTAAGACTTGTTCCTATTCTGTGTCTCTAATTGCTCTTTTCCCACTTGAGCCTTTCCTATTAACATTTTCCTAATCCTTGATCCATCAAAACTAACAAAGTCTCCAATGATCTCGACTATTAATCAATCTGTGGCCACTTTTTTTTTTCTTCTTCTTTTTTTTTTTTTTTTGGAGGGGTTTCCCCTTTAGGGGGTCTGTCTCTGACAGAGAGAGACAAAGAGACAGAAAGTGAGAAATCACCTTCCCAGGGGGGATGGCCATGCTGCAATCCCTTCTCCTCCATTTTCCTCTTGGGATCTTGAGCACATATGTACACGCACCCGGCGTGAGTTTAAACTACCGGGTCCGGGACTCGAACCGTGGTCGACTACATGGGAGTCCAGCAACATAGCCATTACGTTAACTGCTGGTCCCCTGTGGCCACTTCTAAAAACCTCACTTATTGGACCTGTTAGCACCAAATACAGTTATCCACCCTTCTAAAATGCTTACTTTTTCTTACTTCCAGGAAACCATATACCTTACTCTTCCCAATTGTACTGTCTGCCTGTTTCTTTTGTTCATTACTTTTCATATCCTGACTAACACTGGTATGATACAGAGCTCAGTCTCTGGAAATATTGTCTTTAGGATTTCCACTCACTCTCTTGGTGATCTCACCTATTTTCATGGTTTAAAGTATTGTTTGTATGCTGATGAATCCCAAACTCATGTCTCCATCTTGGACCTCTACTGTGATCTCCATTTAATATCCAAGGTCACTTCAATTTTCATGTCTAAAACTGAAGTCTGATCACCCCCCTTTAATAACACCCTCCCCTCGAATTGTGCTGTTCTCCTTGGTCTTTCCTGTCCCAGTAAAGAGCAGTCATCTTTCCATTTGCCCTTAATCTTGCTCACACCCATGTTGAGTCCACCCTTTTGTTCCGTCCTTTAAAAGGAATTAAGCACCATGTGGATTCCTACCACAGAGTCTGCATTATCATAAAAACCTAATTGGCTTCTGCTCCTACATTGCTTCTCTATAGTTCTTTTTCAACATAGCAGCAAAAAGAATTCTGTTAAAATATATAGGTCAGGTCAGGTCACTTTGTTCAAAACCCATGAGCAGTTTCCTCCATAAGGAAACTACCAGTGATGGTCTGGTTCCTAGATGTCTGTGACCACCTCCTTTCCTCTGAGTATTCCATTCTGGCCATGGTGTTCATTTTGCTGCTCTTCAAACATGCAGGAGAGCTCTCCGCCCACCTCACACTTGCTATTCCCTGGCCTAGAATGCTCTCTCTTCTGGTAACTCAATGTCTTACTTCTTCATTCTCATCAGGTAATTTCTCAAATGTCACCTTTTCCTCTTTTTATTGTCAGAAGCCATATGCACTATTGTGCATGCGTTGGGACAGGGAGAGGCAGGGAGACAAGGTACCTCCCAATTGGCATGGTCATGTTACAATCCCCTTTCTTCCATTTCTTCGTCCCATAAGGGTTGAGGGCGTGCATGCTCATGTGCCTGTCATATTTTTCAATCTGCCAGCGTTAAGATTCAAACCATGGTTGGCTGTGTAGTATCTGGATCCTGAGGCATAGTGCTTAACCACTTTGCTAC